TTATATATTTTAAAAATTATATATAATTTTATAAAAATATATTTTTTAATATCTTTTAAATATGTTTTGTTTAATAAACATGTTTACTTTTATTTTGATATTAAAATATTTGTTGTATAATAATATTGTATAAGCAATTTGTAATGTACTTGTGTGTTTATAGGTTTTTTTTATAGGTGCTTATATATAATTCACACCGAGTTTACATCTTTCATTGCATTTGACTTGCTCATAGTGATTTAATAACATATTACTTGCATTAACAGAGATTATAGTCATTTGCCTTTGCTTCTGTAAAGCAACTCTAATTACAGGGTTAAGTGTAACTATTATAGACACTGAGGGTGACCTGTTTCCCCTAATGTTTAGACTGGTGGTCGATTGCCAGTGGCATTTCAGCTGTGTCACTCTTGCTTGGATTGAACCAACAATCTTTGTTAGCAGACCTGAAGCCATTAGGCAACTGTGTAGCATCGCTCACTGAACACCACAATTATAGCTGTCAGACATCCATATTGTCTCATCTAAAGTAGAGATATAATTTATAATGCTGCTTCTCGACAGACTGAGAGCAGGTACAGCGGCGAGTAATTAGCATGAGGTTATAATTAAGTTTGTAAATATGAATGAGATTATTAAAGAAGAGTTCTAGCATTTCCACAGTTTTTACAATGATAAGGTCTGTTAACATTTTGAATTAATTAAAAAACTAATCACCAGTTTTGTTATAATAATAAAACAAGTCTACCTTCGGCAAACACTTCCTCACAAATTCAAAAAGAACTTGACACACAGTTAGAAATGATACTTAGTTCTTACCAAAAATGATCTTGAAAACCTTGAAAATTGTATTAATTTATTTTCATGCAGTTACAAAAATAGTGGCTTTCAAGCTTCAAAAAGGCTCATGCATAAAGTATAATATTGTAAATGTTTTGGAATCATACGATAGCTTTGTGTGAGAAATTATTTACTGAAAATGTTTTCATGAGAGTTGAAATGTCTTTTGAGTCAAATATTGGCAATGAATCAGTTTATCAAGTTTATGAAATGGGTCTAAATGATTCATTCACAAATTGCACTGATTCAGTTCTTGAGGTCAACTCACTAAATTATTTAAAGGAATAGTTCCCACAAAAATAAAAATTGGCTTAAAATGTACTTATTATGGATTATGGACACATATTTTGGCCAGAAGCGACAGTTTAAAAGTTTTTTTTTTTTAAATACAATATTCCCTTCTGATGGACTGGAGTCGTGTTGATTGCTTGTAGATTATTGTGATGTTTTATCAGCTGTTTTGACTCTCATTCTGACGGCACCCATTTACTGCAGAGGATCCATTGGTGAGCAAGTGATGCTAAATTTTTCCAAATCTGTTCGGATGTAAGCTTGGGAGCACAGAGTTAAGTTTGGTCTCATTTTAAAAGAAGACCCATGGCAGCTTATTGTTGAAGTAAAGAAAAATGTAAAAAAATGAAACAAAAACAAAAAAAGTTATAGAGTTTTAAGTTTATGAAAATGATTTATGAACGATATTTTATATAAAATATATATTTTATGAAACATGTTGAACTCTATACTTGTTAGAAAATCAAAGCCATAAATCTAAACAAGTTATCAGCTGTTTGGACTCTCATTCTGATGGCACCCATTCACTGCAGAGGATCCATTGGTCAGCAAGTGATGCTAAATTTTTCCGTTTTTTCAGTTCAGAATTTGTTCAGATGAAGAAACAAACTCATTTACATCTTGGATGGCCTGAGGTTAAATATATTTTAAGCAAATTTTCATTTTTAGCTAAATACATAGCAGAAATGACCAGCACAATTCTTCAAATTTCTTCTTTTGTGTTACACGGAAGAAATAAAGTCACATGAGGGTGAGTAAAATGCTCATTTCTGGGTGAACGATTCCTTTCAGTGTTATTAGATACATCTATTGTTGTCCTCCTCCAGCCCAGGAGAGATCACGCTGGATATATGACATTTCAGCATGGAACAAGTCTTCTTGAGGGTCAAGGATATTCAGGGAAGGATATTACCGCTAGAGTGACCTGAGCCTTTATATAGAGCAGTTTGGTGTCTGTGGTCAGAAGGGGACGATCCTCAATCAAAACCACAGTGAGTCATCGCTGGCTCGTGCGTCACGCTGCAGAGCCCCGTCAACAGGGGACACGCGCACACACGCTCATTCACACATTCACAGCGCACGTAATATCCAATCTCAGCATGCAGACTTACAAAGTTCAATTATAGTAGCTGCTTGAGCTATTCAGTGCAACAAGCTTGTTATTTCATTACAAAACCCCTTCAACAGGCTACTCAAAAGCTCTGATTTGATTCAGAACTACAGAGCCACAATGTTCAGTGAAGTAATGTAGCAAAAACAATTAAAACAAAAAATAACTACGTATTTATTTCAGGGAAATAAATATCTCAACATGTACACTATCATTCAAAAGTTTGGGGTTGGTAAGATTTTTCCGTTTTTTTTTTTTAAAGTCTCTTATGCTCACCAAGGCTGCAAAAATACAGTAAAAAGTGTAATATTGTGAGAAAATGATTACAGTTTAAAATGAGTGTTTTCTATTTGAATATATTTTAAAATGTAATTTATTTCTGTGATGCAAATCTGAAATTTCAGCATCATTACTCCAGTCTCCAGTGTCACATGATCCTTCAGAAATCATTCTAATATGCTGATTTGTTGCTCAAGGTGCATTTATTATCATCAGTGTTGAAAACAGATGTGCTGCTTAATATTTTTTTGTAGAAAACTGATACATTGTTTTATTTGTCATATTCTGTGATGAATATAATGTTCAAAAGAACAAAATTTATTTGAAACAGGCATCTTTTCTAACATTATAAATGTCTTTACTGTCACTTTTGATCAATTTAATGCATACTTTCTGTAAAAAAGTATTAATTTCTTCTTTAAAAATTTTATTAACCCAAGACTTTTGACTGGTAGTATACAGTGTTTACTCTAAAAAAGCTTAGATTCAAATTGCTTATGCAAAGGTTAAAATTCAAGGCATGTTTCTTAAACTTTTCACTAAATGAACACAATGCAGAATTATATTTGTTCAAATTTATATTTAGATACAAAAAGCTGTATACTTAATTGAACATTTTAGAATGATAATACAAACAAATTACTGAAATTCTCAACCTATTCAGTAAAACATACTCACACTGATTCACGTTTCTCTAACAGCTTTTTGCTAGTCAGGGAAGTTTAAATCAGGGACATCTCAATTTTAACCCTCACATTGTGAGAACAAGGAGTTTGCAGGTCTTCCTTACAAGTAAGTTTCTGAATCTATCATTTAAAAAAAATGTAGTGCAGTGAATGGGTGCCATCAGAATGAGAGTTCAAAAGCTGATAAAAAACATGGATTTGCTTCTTACAAACATGCAGCTTTTCACTTCACAAGATGTTAATTGATGGACTGGAGCGGTGTGGATTACTGTGATGTCTTTATCAGCTGTTTGGACTCTCATTCTGACGGCACCCATTCACTGCAGAGGATCCATTGGTGAGCAAGTGATGCTAAATTTATCCAGATATATTTTGATAAAGAAACAAACTCATCTACATCTTGTATGGCCCGAGGGTGAGTACATTTTCAGCAAATTCTTGAGTGAATTACTCCTTGAAGGACTGATAATATCTGTGCTCTCCAACTCCCATAAAATTGTCCAATCAGATTTATACAGTTGAACACACATGGGCGATCTGTCTCTCCGTTAAATAAGCACTGCTGTGTGTATGTAAAAACTCGTTTCCATTCATGGTTATTAACACGACTGATGCACTTTGGGGGTTTTAAACTGCTGAATAAATTAGGATGTCATCAAAAGTTAATAAGCATTGGGAGTGAGGGCCAGAGTTAGTGTAACACAGAAGCACAAGCATCCTAACCTTAACTCGATTGATGTTGGCCCCACTCATGCTTCCACTGCGGTCGATGAAGAAGATGTATTCCCCCTGAATGCTCCGCAGGTCAGAGGTCGTCGAACGGAGGTCTGGGCAGAAGTTCAGCATGGCCACGGGGTTGTGGAGGATGTCTTTATGGAGCCTCTTCCGAATGATGTCCACCTACACACCACACATCAGCCAGTGAAAGAGCCATTACCGAAGGCTATAATGGAAAAGCTGGTGAATCTCACAAAAACATGTCACATTAACAACAAAATGAAAAGAAAAAAATAAGAAGTTACACTTTTTCATGTAGACAATAAAGCCCATTTTTAGGAACATTAAAGGGGATGTCTAATGCTATTTCATGCATTCTGACTTACTTACACTGCTAAAGAGTTGGATGCTCATGCAAAACATGACCAAAGTCTCAAAAAACGAGTTGGGCGTAGATAAGAAGGATGCAACACTACTCTGTAGGTACTCAAGCAATTAAGCATATTTGATAAATTTTTTCTTTAAATCAACACAAATTAAAGCTAGTATAGCAAATAAAATAATTTTTAGAATTGAAATATATCATAACTTTTTATAACAGTATACTTTATAGTAAAACGCTCAATACATATGATGGCGATAGATAGATAGATAGATAGATAGATAGACGGATGGACGGACGGACCGATAGATAGATAGATAGATAATATTGTATACATTAATTACATAAATTATATATGTACAAAAATTATAATTTAGATATATTTTTATTGAAATATGACCCAGGAAAGAAAAGGGAAGAAAAAAAACCCTCACAAAGAATGTGGGTCATAATAACCTGGAGGTTGAGTATGCAAACTGCTGCAAACTGAATGAAAGGTTGAGATTTCATTGTATGGTGGTTAAGTGTGAACTTTCAGTGGAAATATTAGACTCCTGTGAGTTCAAGCTCTTCTGAAGGATGCCAATTAGCCTATTGTGAACTGCTCTGAAGAAAGTATTTCAAATTAGCCATGTATTTCAACCACTTTACATCACGTCTCAATTAGTTAGTCCATTGTACATGAAATTACTTCTCAGAAATCTGCTGTTTCCATGACTCGCTTACTAAATTAACCTTTGTAGGAAATAGCTTTCTTCTACATACACACACGTTTCATTCAATAATCAGTTACTTGATTACTGAACGAAATAAAAATGACTAAAACATTCATCAGAATTTCTCCTTTTGTGTTGAACAGGAGAAAGAAAGTCATACGAGTTTAGAATAACGTGGGTGAATAAATGATCATTTTCAGTTCTGTTATTCAGTGTCATTCGGCTCACGTCAGCAAATGATTGATAGAGCCAGACACTCATAAGCATATGAAACTATGAGCCAAGATCGTAATTTTGAAAATCTTTTACGGTTCACGGATTCCCCTCTCGTGCTCTAAAGATTTAATTACAGGAGCACACATCCCAAAGGAGGGTAAGTTAACCCTTATTCCGCTACACGGTGGGTAGAAACACTATGGACTGAAGACCTTTGATGGTTTCCATAGAAACGTCTATTCATTGCTGATGATTTTAGGGCTGAATGTTCTCTCCCTCCTGTTGAGGAACAGCACTCACTTAAGGATGCAATTGAAGCTTTGCGCAGCTGAGAAACATGGATCTGCGCTGGCATTCCCACTTAATGTAACTTCCTGAAGCGACGATTAGCAAGAGTTGAAGGGATTTTGCATTAAAACTAAATTTGATTTCACACTTGATTTTCAGTATGAGTGTCATTAGGCTTAATCTAACAGCTTGGCATTAAAAACATAGACGGATGGACGGACGGACCGATAGATAGATAGATAGATAATATTGTATACATTAATTACATAAATTATATATGTACAAAAATTATAATTTAGATATATTTTTATTGAAATATGACCCAGGAAAGAAAAGGGAAGAAAAAAAACCCTCACAAAGAATGTGGGTCATAATAACCTGGAGGTTGAGTATGCAAACTGCTGCAAACTGAATGAAAGGTTGAGATTTCATTGTATGGTGGTTAAGTGTGAACTTTCAGTGGAAATATTAGACTCCTGTGAGTTCAAGCTCTTCTGAAGGATGCCAATTAGCCTATTGTGAACTGCTCTGAAGAAAGTATTTCAAATTAGCCATGTATTTCAACCACTTTACATCACGTCTCAATTAGTTAGTCCATTGTACATGAAATTACTTCTCAGAAATCTGCTGTTTCCATGACTCGCTTACTAAATTAACCTTTGTAGGAAATAGCTTTCTTCTACATACACACACGTTTCATTCAATAATCAGTTACTTGATTATTGAATGAAATAAAAATGACTAAAACATTCATCAGAATTTCTCCTTTTGTGTTGAACAGGAGAAAGAAAGTCATACGAGTTTAGAATAACGTGGGTGAATAAATGATCATTTTCAGTTCTGTTATTCAGTGTCATTCGGCTCACGTCAGCAAATGATTGATAGAGCCAGACACTCATAAGCATATGAAACTATGAGCCAAGATCGTAATTTTGAAAATCTTTTACGGTTCACGGATTCCCCTCTCGTGCTCTAAAGATTTAATTACAGGAGCACACATCCCAAAGGAGGGTAAGTTAACCCTTATTCCGCTACACGGTGGGTAGAAACACTATGGACTGAAGACCTTTGATGGTTTCCATAGAAACGTCTATTCATTGCTGATGATTTTAGGGCTGAATGTTCTCTCCCTCCTGTTGAGGAACAGCACTCACTTAAGGATGCAATTGAAGCTTTGCGCAGCTGAGAAACATGGATCTGCGCTGGCATTCCCACTTAATGTAACTTCCTGAAGCGACGATTAGCAAGAGTTGAAGGGATTTTGCATTAAAACTAAATTTGATTTCACACTTGATTTTCAGTATGAGTGTCATTAGGCTTAATCTAATAGCTTGGCATTAAAAACCCTGAATATTTCAGAGAGTGACTGGAGTCTGGGACAAAGAGGTGTGTGGAAAAGTTCAGAAAGAATATATACTGTAACTACAATTTAAAACTTTGGGGTCAGTAAAATGTATACTTTTATTTCCGCAAGGATGCATTAAATTTATCAAAAGTGACAGTAAAGACATTTATAATATTACAAAAGATTCCTATTTTAAATAAACACTGTTCTTTTGAACCATCTATTTAAAAAAATACAATTACTACTGAAAATCTGGCTTTGCATCACAGGAACAAATTACATTTTAAAATGTATTAAAATATAAAATTGTTATTTTAAATTGCAATAATATTTCACAATATTGCTTTTTTTTTTTCTTTACTGTATTTATAATCAAACAAATATTTGAGCATAAAAAGACTTCTTACCAACCCCAAACTTTTGAATGGTGCAAAAATATAAAAAATAAATAAATAGATTAAAAGTTACTGAATATATTCGCTAAAAACATATAAATAATATTTGATTCATAATTACATTTGTCAATATTAATATTATTAATATGTTACAATTTACTGAATTTGACTGGTTGGAAATAATTAAATCACAATTATTTTATTCTATTAACAGCTATTACCATCAGTTTTATTTAGGTATTTATTAACAAATTTATTTATTCATGTATGTATTTATTTATTTTTTCCTCTAGGTTTATATATCTAAAAGTACTGTGGTTTTCTTGTTCAAAAACTATAGTTTTTGGTACTTCTTGTCAGTGAACAAAATCATTCCATGAAAAAAATCTTAATCTGTTATATTACATGCTGGTTTGCTTATGAACGTCTCAGTCACAAAAACACATCTTGAGAACATTATTTCAAATAATCACCACTTCCTGTGCAGCTTATGATTCTGGCTGCAAAATAATAACCTTTGCTAGATTTGACCAATTATATTGAAAAAGCACCACAAAAGCGTCCTAGTGTTGTACTACTTTGTTTAGATATTTTTCGTCCTTGTACGGCCTACTTCATCTGTGTTTGTGTCTGTTTTCTGTATTCCCTCATTCACCGTCTTTTCATTACTGCAGTCCTTCTTGGTGGCCTTTATGTAGTCGTTCCGTCTTTTCAGATGCTCATCGTATTCCTCCGGCGTCATGTCTCCGTCTTCGATGAGAACGTGTGGCAGATGGGGCTCTACGCGAAGAAAGGAAGAATAATTTACTATCTCTGTACAGCATTAAAACCTCTCCGTGTGGAGACACAACAGTGAATTATGACAGCAGACGATGAGATGCATTACTGCCAGACATGAAGGACTCCCAAAGTGGCGGTATTTCTTAAAAACAGCAGCTGTATTAGACACAGAGTACGTTGGCGCCATCAGTACGGCTGAACGTTTGCCCCTTTGACTCGGCTGCCTTATCAATTCGATTGCACAATACTGGCCTCGGGTCACCTGTGGAGTGAGGCAATCTTACGCCGCAGCTTATGAGGCATCGAGGGATTCATTTATGACTCCCAGACGCCGACGGAGGTCGAGATGCATGATGGGGTGGCTGAAGAAATATAGAGCTCAACTAAACAGTGCTTATAGAGCGAGAAATGATGTTATATGGCTGTGGACCTGGGAATGATGTTTCAATAGCCTATGATTTAATAAAGCGCCTCTTGTTTGGACAAGCTTTCAGGCACATGGAGAGATTAGCACTGGCTTGCTCTGAAAGGCCGACTCTATTGTCCAGTTAGCAAAGGTCAGAGTGGCTGTGATCTTGTTTGTCTGTCGATGTGGGGACCAAATGGCCTGACAAAAAAACAACATTGCTGGGATGGTCCACAAGGAAAACGGATTCATAAAGGGACTAAAATGTTTGCTCATTGCCACTAGAAGTGGTTGCTAGGATGCTAGTTGCTGCCCTGAGTGGTTTTTAGCATTATTGTTGCCAAGTTTTCTAGGGGGTTTCTAAGGATGGGAATCATAAGAATTTAATTCTGATTCCTTTGAACAATTTTGATTCCTTAATGATTCTTTTAGTACTTGTAAGGAATAAATGTGATAATAAGAAATGTAATTGCAGTGCCAAATGATGAGATCATTTCAGTAATAAAAAAAACACATTTAAAACAATTCTTGCAAAAGGTGTGTTAACATTTTAATGACTTTTCACAATCTTTTTAGAGGTGGCATAAATGCAACCCAATAATTGGTGTTCGCTATATTTTCAACAACATTATACTAAACAAATTAAGCATTCATATTTAATTATATTTATTTATTTATTTATTGCATGTCATATGAACAACCAGTCAGTAACTTCTCTGATTTAAGTCTTGAGTGTCTAAATAATTAGACATGCTAAAACACAGAATTTGGTAACAATAAAACATAAGGTTGGAAAAAAATAAAACATTTTTGGGCCCCAAACATGTAATTATTGTTAAACTTTTAATAAATTGATGTTAAACTGTTTAAGTTTCATGATTTTAATTAATTAGACATGCTTTTTGATTAAAAAAATTGAATTTAACCAAAAAAATGGAATCCCCCACCCCCCCCACCCCAAAGCCGTAAACCTATAATAATTCTTGTAATTATGTGTGCTACACACCACTGGGGTAGATCAGTATCTCCACAGGGCAGTCGTAGGTGTACTTGTCTGCCAGTGTGACCACAATGCTGGTGGCAGAGCGAGCCGTGGGCTCAGCGTCCGCCCGGATGGCGTGTGAGGGGCTTTCCACACCTGTACAGAGAAACTTCTAAAGCATCTAAAATAAGCAGGAGCAACAGACGTTAGACCACATGCGAGGACTAAACCGTTCTTCAACTCCAGCAGGAAGATGCATACTGCAAAACAACCGGTATCAAACAATGTTATCAGTATGAAAAGTCAACATCAAACTATTAATGCATCAAAATAATTTAGGCTAGAATGTTGGCAGGATATATTTTGCATTTATGCTTTTGTCAGACATTTTAATCCAAATAAAGCATTACATTTTACATGTATTCATATTTATTTATCTGGAAATCAGTGGTATAATATTTAATTCTAGACTCACGCATGAGGATGGAGGAACTGACCTGCCAGTAAATACGGCCCTCTGATCTCAAGATGGAAATTAAACTCATAGTCAATAGAGTTAATGGTCTCTTCCTCCAACAGTGCAGCCAAACACACTCCTGAGGCCGTCTGCTCGTGGGTTCCCACTGCACAGTGATGCTGATCCCTCCTGAGACAAATCAGCAGGAGATATTGATAAACTGCTCAATGTTTTTTGTCCATACAATGAAAGTCAGTAGGGTCTGACGTTGTTTAACTTCAAGTTTCCATGTTGTACATTTTGCTTAATCAACACATAATGCGACAATATCTTAGGAAAGATACCTAGAGAGATGGTTAAACAGATGGCAGTAAAAATTCTGTATGCAAATAAATGCAAGAAAGAAGACAGGTCGCAATTCAGTATGCAAATAGTAGAGCAATATCAGAGATTTTTAATCTTGCATATCATTTGAACAACCAGTCAGCAACTGCTCTAATTTAAAGGGATAGTTCAAACAAAAAGAAGAAACATTTTTGAAAATGTACCTACCCTCAGGCCATCCAGAATGTAGGAGTTTGTTTCTTCATCTAAAAAGATTTGGAGAAATTTAGAATTACATCACTTGCTCACCAATGGATCCTCTGCAGTGAATGGGTGCCGTCAGAATGAGAGTCCAAACAGCTGATAAAAACACCACAATAATCCACACAACTGCAGTCCATGGCTTAAGGATGTATTGTTTTTTTTACAAATGCAGCTTTTCACTTTGCAAGACGTTACCTGATGGACTGGAGTCATCTGGATTATTTGTGGATTATTAAGATTAATTTGGTGAGCAAGTGATGTAATGCTAAATTTCTCCAAATCTGTTCTGTTCCAATAGACAGACAAAGTCATCTACATCTTGGATGGCCTGAGGTGAGAAAATTCTCAGCAAATTTTAATTTCAGTATGCAAATATTACACTGATATCAAAGATTTTTATGCATGTCATATGAACAACCAGTAAGTATGTTTTTGATTCACTAAAAAGAGCCGACTCTTAAGAGTCATTCATTCAGGAATCGGACCACACTGATTGTCCTGTAACTGAACTGATTCATTGAAATTGAACTAGTCCTTCAATCATTATAAATCATTATGCAAATATATTACACAGATATCAGCTTCAGTGTAATGTCTACTATGTCATTGCAGGTCAATGGGAGATTTTTAAACTTTAATCTTAAATGTCCTAAAAAGTGTAGCATGCAACACAAAATGCAAAATAGGTAGTACAGATAAAGCTGATTTTATCTACAAAATACATTTTATGCTTTAAATTGGAGTCTGTATGTTAAAAGGTTCAGACTGAATTAATTGCTTTTACTAGGGTTTGGCGTTTAGAACTGAAATCAGAATGTCTGAAGATCATACAGTAAATACAGTGTGCCCATGCAAATACTACAACATTAATGAATCACACACCTCCGAGCAGTGCTGGGCGAAAACGCCTGCTCCTCTTTGACAGAACGTTGGACTCTTGGAGAGCAGACGGGTGGTGAGCTCACCCGAATTCCCCCATTAGGGAGTGTGCTGAGCTCTGAGGAGGTGCTGACCAGTATATTAATGGTCTCCAGAGGGGGAATGACCCCCAGACTGACCACCAGCACTGTCGTCTCCTGATCCTCATCCAAAACGATATGTCCTGCAACAAGATGATTCATCAGTAAAACCTCTGAAATGTACAGTCAACTTCAATGAAAAAGCATAATAAAATGTGTTAAAAGGAATAGTTCACAGAAAAATGAAAATTTGTGGGAAATTTACTCCGCCTGTGGATCCTCTGCAGTGAATGGGTGCCGTCAGAATGAGAGTCCAAACAGCTGATAAAAACTTCACAATAATCCACAGTCCATCAGTTAACATATGGTGAAGGGAAAAACTGTGTGTTTGTAGAAACAAATACAAAATTAAGGCTTTTAAACTTTAAACTGTCACTTCTGACCGAAAGACAAGTCCATAATCCGTAATAACACTTCCTCCAGTGAAGAAGTCCATCCCCTGTTGTCCTCTCACATCAAAATCCACCAACATAATGAAACAAACTCATCTACATCTTGCATTGCATGAGGCTGAGTAAATATTCAGCCAATTTTCATTTTTGGGTGAACTATTCCTTTAACTGGATTCAACAGTCACTGTGACAGGCCTTACGTTTAAGCTCTGAATCAGGGATTAACTAAGATCTTTGATGAGCATACAATCTTACCACCTCTGCTCTGCGGGGTTCCATTGGCATTGCAGCAATCAAAGTAACAGTCATCGATTTTCATTTTATCTTTGACCTGCACGGTTATTATCTGGCTGCCAATCATCGCTTCGAACCCGACCACCACGCTGAACTCATCCAGAGGGTATATAAAGATTCCTGCATGAATCACAGGATTACAGGAGAACACATTGTTTATTACCCAATAGCTAAAGGCGATCCTTCCATAAAGCTAATTTTGCACTTGACAGAAATTAAATCAAACGTTTTAGTGCTTTCAGCATTGATCAATGCAAAATCCAATCTGTTGGGGGAGTCAATACGACACTGGAGACCACAGAGCAGAAATCTGCCGGTGACATTTCTAGACTTCACACAAATAGCTGATGAGGTTGGGAGGGAAAGACAAGTGTTTCTATTTCCTTCCGGGCATTTTGACAACGTATTACTATGATTATAAAGAGTTTAATACATTTCTTCTCAAAACAGGATGAGAATCATAATTGTGGTTTTTGTCAAAAGCTGAAAAGGATAAGTGTTTTGGACAAAAAAATTAATACTGGGCCTGATGATGTAGCATCTTTTGAGATTATATTTAAACGGTGGATTCAATGGGACAATGCTAAAGTTTAGGTTCAATCAATACTATACTCCAAAAAAATATTTAGGCCTAAATGTAAAATTTTTTTATTTGAACTGCAAAATTTCCATCCATTTGCATTACACAGTTTTAATATAAACTCATAAACTTAATATAATGCATATTTGTCAGTCATTCATATTAAACAAGTAATATTTCTGCACTGGCATAGTTTATTAACTATTTGCATTGATTTGGTTTCATTTTCATCTTATTTTCAAAATTGCAAATCAGCATACATCTGTTCATTGTGAAAACAATAACTGAAACAAATTGGATTTGTAAATCTGGTTATTGTGTATATATGACTGACAAATATGCATCACGTTTAACAGTTCAAGTAAACATAGTAATCCAAATGGAAAAGGTTTTTTTTTTTTTTTGAGTGTAATAGTGAAGACGTAGCAAGAGCCACTAATGATTGATATCACTTCAGAAGAAGTAATGCACCTATTTTAGACAGCATACTTACCCTCGACAGGGTGATCTTCGATGTTTTCATAGGTCAAGGAGGCTGTCATTGCCAGGGTGTAACCCCTGACACAGGAAGTGATGTCTGAGACGCTGAGAGGCAGAGCGCTCCATTTGCTCTTGTTGATCAGGCCAGGCATGATGGTGGTTCTGTCCAGTACAGCTTCTCACATGCAGAGAAGGGAGTGAGAGGGGATGCTTCCCTAAAAAACCTAGATAACATTGAAACTATGTTTTACAATATATCTTGCAGAATGCCAATACATAAATACATATCTCTTTGGAGCCAATGCATTTTATTTATTTTTTTGGACACACATTTATGGACACACGTTTATTTTTGTGGACAATGTATGAAAGTCCAGATAAGCATTATTATTATTAATAATTATTAGTATGCATTGAGTTTTCTTGCTTTAAGCAATAAAACAAAACATAAATAAATAAACATATTTATTTATTTACTTACATAAATTTTTTTTAATGTCCAGAAAAAATATCTAAACTTTAAAACAAGATAAATTTACTTAAAAATCTGCTTGAATGACCTAATATTGTTATTATAATTATTATAAATTTTTATATAAAAATTAAAAATATAATAAATAATAATATTTAATAAATATTTTTTATAATAAATAAAAATACATAACTTACAGAATGCAAATAAATAAAAGAGGCCAATATTTATTTATTTACTAAAATATGATTGTCCAGACAAAATGTCTAAACATCCTTAAAACAAGATACATTTACTTAAAAAGCAAAAATGCATAAAGGATCTGAATTATTATTATTCTCGCTCTCTCCCTCTACTGGTTTTAATTGTTTTAAGCATAAATCTAACAGAATTTTGTGGTGTTAGTTAAAAAACTCCAATGAGAGAAATAAACTTTCAAAATATATTCTCTGAAAACAAGTCACATGCAGTATCTAATGATATTTTGTTTCTCAAGTTAAACTGATCTAATTTTAAGGATGTTTATAGAAAAAAAATCTGATTTAAAAAAAAAACGTAACATTAACTCTGGCCATGTTCAATTAACATTTGACTACCAGAAAATTACCAAAAACTAATTTTGAAAAGTGTGTTTACTATTTTATCATTTACTACCATACAAACTGTGACATGTTTTGTTTAAAAAGTGTGTTTGTGCAAATCTGTCCTTCAAATAAATGCCACCTGGTGTAATATTTCATATCTATGCAGTGACATTCACAAATTTTAAGTGTGGCTTAAGTGTCCAGTATCTGTGCTCTGAATAAAAAAAAAACAAGTCATTCATATTGTCACATCATAACTCATCACTGCCCTCATGCCTGTCGCATTAATAAAGATGAGAAGACAACAGCATTATCCGTATCGCTCTGGATGTCACTCTGGTGTCCCGAATGAAGACCTCTGACAGGTCCACACAAACCCCCTCCCCGTCCCATGGCTGGATTTCTGGCACACAAACCGCAGGTCTGCTTCAGCGCCATGAAAGGGAACAGAAACCTCTGGCACATCAAACAAGCCACAGCACTGTAACAGATGCAGTGTTGATGCCATGACGAGTCAGTTTTTACCTGAGGTCAGCACACAGAATTCCGGACTATGGAATACAAAACCAGAGCAGTTATCTGATACAGAGCAGCGTCTGTGTCTCTCAGTTCCATTAATTATTGTTCCAGAAAAAGCGATTAACGTGATGTAACACTCAAATTAACTAGTTTTCAGAGCACAAATGAGATCTCTTTAACTTTTCAATTGATTCTCTTGGACAGTAATGGAATTGAAATGGAAAGCTAATGCGCCACAGATTTCTCTCCTTAGAAAAAGACACCCGACACCAAAGCTCTCAGTCTAGAGTTTCAGGGGTGATCTCTCTGAATAATGTCGCAGACTCTGCTCAGATTTGCCAAAATGCAAAGTGTGTCACCAAATTATTTGTTTTAGGACTCTGTACTCACATGTCAATTGTCTTGTGTCTGTTTTTATTTCTAGTAAGACATAAGAAGACAAATAAATCATAACTGAAAACTCCATTACGTTTCCTGAGGTTTGAACAAGCAATCTCCAAACAATAAAAATGTCACAAATGAGATCTCTTATATTATGACATTTATAAATATTGCAATTGTTTCTCCTGAACAGCAATGACAATCAAAGACTTTTGTTGAATCTGCTTCTCAGATTTGTCTGAAAACCACAATAGAGATTCAGAAAAGATCGCAAAAATGCCTCACACTGTGCTCAGGTTTACAAATATCAGAGATTTTAATATGAGCTCAAGCATTTTCTTAAATCTTTTAATGAATTACCTGAGTTATACTGTCGAGTAATAGAAAATATTTGGCCATTCTGAGATTATGATATTATGAGATTATACACTATCATTTAAAAATATGGGGTTGGTAAGATTTTTTAAAATAGTTTTAAAATAAGTTTCTTATATTCAGTAAGGCTGCATTTATTTAATCAAAAATACAGTAAAGTAGTAATATTGCGAAATATTATTACCATTTAAAATAACAGTTTTCTATTTTAATATTTTGAAATGTCATTTTTTCCTGTGATGCAAAACGGAATTTTCAGCATAATTCCTCCAGTCTTCAGTGTCACATGATCCTTCAGAAATCATTCTAATATGCTCATTTGCTGCTAATGAAACATTTCTTATTATTATCAATGTTGAAAAGAGTCATGCTGCTTGATATTTATATATATTTTTCAGGATTTTTTAAAGAATATAACATTCAAAGAACAACATTTATTTGAAATAAAATGACATTTCACTTTTGATCAGTTTAATGCATTCCTGCAGAATAAAAATAATTTCTTTATTTCAAAAAAAGAAATCTTACTGAGCCCAAACTTTTCAAAAAGTACTGTGAATTGTATTGTTTAACATTAAAATATTTAATATTAATTTGACATACGATTTTAATGAATTCTAATATATCAACATTATATCAGCAGTTCACAGCCTTGAAATGGCATCAGGCATTGAAAAGCCCATATCAGTCAACTACTAATGTCTTACTGAATCTCAGCATTTGAGTCTCTGTTTATTTCATCTAATGAATTACAGGAGAAACATCTGTGATAAAGCTCATACTTAAAGCATAAGTCATCAAACAGAATCATGAAAAAATAATGGTGGTTTCCAAACAGGTTTCCCACCGATTTGCAAACACAACTGAGAACTCTATTAATTCTCTTGAGCTCTGAGCGAGCAACCTCTGAGAAATATCCAAGAATATTAAAAAAAGAAAAAGCAAACTGCATTATCATTTATCTCAAGACCGATATTAATCACCTAACTTGCTGAACTTCCACAGTGGGCCAGTGTTTTGGAAATTGAACTCGATTCCCAGCCAATCCGCCCAAGATTTATGAGCAACTATTCTCAGAGGACATAAATGTTTGAGATTAAACAGCTCCCCGTTATCACAGGACAGAAACAGACGCTTTCATCAAGGTGTCCACATGGTCATAACTCTCAGACACAGAGGAACGCCACCCCCTCTCTAATAGATTAGGGTTTGGCGGGGTGCCGCGTGACTACATTTCTGCACAAAGCAAAGGTGTCAGTATCATCTTTAAACATGATATAACAGATGCTGAAATTATGCAGGTAACTAATGATAATAAAACCTTATTAAAAGTCTATTATGCTCACCTAGGCTGCATGTATTTGTTTAAAAATGTGACATATTATTATAATTTAGAATAACTGTTTTTTATTGTAATACATTTTAAAATGTAATTTATTCCTGTCATGCAAAGCTGAATTTTCAGCATCATTACTCCAGTTTTCATTGTCACATGATCCTTCAGAAATCATTCTAATATGCTGCTAAAGAAACATTTATAACAGATACTGAACCATGCAGGTAATCAATGATATTAAAACCTCAAAATAATCATCTCTTATGCTCACCATGGCTGCATTTATTTGATTAAAAAATTAAAATATTATTTCGATTTAAAATAACTGTTTTCTTGTTAAAATTTCATTTTTGTAATATGCTGATAAAGAAACATTTATAACAGATACCGAAGTCATGCAGGTAATCAATAATATTAAAACCACATAAATTAAGCTTTTTAAATGACTCTAGCAGAGCAAGTGAAGGTCAAAATCAATTTCATTCTTAATAACCATATGATTTTGTTTGTCCTCATCATGAAATAAAACATAATTCTAGCTTTCTTCCATGTTCTATTCTAGGGGACCCAAATCAGAAGAACCCAAAGTGACAGACAATAATCAACCCCCGCCTCCCATCCATCCTCTCCCTGGAGCAGCGGAGTGTGAATCACTCCCAAAGAAATCGCCAAATCACCAACTCCACGGCTGCCACCACACACTGCGGGAGACACGGCACAGAAACAACCACCTGTTGATCTCAGCAAACACTGACTACAGATGCATCACTTGCGGCCGCGAGCAAATGAAATCCCTCTTTAGTGCTTTGGAAACACTTCCCAAATTCACAATCTAAAACAAAATACTTCATCTCAATCCTTTGACATCAGTTCCTCACGCACTTTTCTCAAAGCAGAAATCTCTTACCTCGCAATTTTCTCTCGACGTCTGAATTGGTGAGGTCCAAAATAACATCAGGCTGCAACTCCGAAAAGCTCTCTGCCTCTTGGAGATGGACACAACAACTGAGCAGAATGGAGGACGGGAGGGAGGTAGAGAGAGAGAGAGATACAGAAGCAGCTGGAGGAACGTTAATGCAGTCAATCAGCACAGCAACATGTGGTTATGAAGCTCAGAGCTGGAAACGAGTGCTTGTCCTGTGCAACAGATGAACACAAACCCCACCAGCACCCCGCCAACGCTCGATTCTCCCCTCAGCATCTGTACCGCCCACCTCTCCGCTCCCCCACCTCTCTGTCTTTCCGTAATCAGTGACGAGAGCCCATTCATGTATCCTATTTGATAGCCAGGGGTGCCACTGGCTGAAATGCAACACCATGCATGGGGGAAATGAGGGGAGGGAAGAGATCATAGATCATGCAAAGGATTCAGATTGAGAATTTTGGTCTCATCCTTTTCTGTCCCATTATCCGCCACTTTTGTCTTCCCATCATTCATGTTTTTCCCTCCAGTGACTGCTAAGCTCACTATCTTGATTTCAATATGACAGGGACGGTTTTATTTATTTTTTTCTGAATGCATTTTGTGGCCGTGGTGCATGTGATTAATCTGCTTTTGCGGAGGACGTAACCATGACAATCAATATGGAGCATCCAGGGCTTTTTTAAAAGACAACAGGTTGGTTGAAGAAAGTGTGTGTGTGTTTAGTGATGTGCTGCCTTGGCTTAAACCTCAGCTTCTGTTTCTCAATTAAATTAACATGTGCTGTTTACTGTCTCTTTTTCCCTCTCTTGCTCGCTCGCCCGCTCTTGGTGAATGTCTCTTATCTCATCTGCCGGGATTTACTGAGGGCTGCAGCGGCTGCTGATTATTTCATCTGCAATATGCAATAAAGAAGAAAATATATCAAATCCAACTTCCAAAAGCTATGAATGGATATCATAAATATCGGTTACACAATCTTTTTAAATAAAGATTCTTTGGACATATACATTTGACTCACAATTACGATGAAAATCTGAATTTCCTATATGAGAAAGCAGGCAAAAATAAATAAAACCATAATGCATAATGACTTTAGAGACAAATGCAAGATTGCATGACAGAAAAATGGCCCAGAGTACATTTTAATAAATCATTCTTAACACTGAGGTGTCGGGTTGAAGCATTCATTTTTTTTTAGGTTTAAGAAAACAAGCATGGTCCAAACAGGATAAATCCCTTTGTTGTATTAATCAATCGTTTTGGATAAAAGCATATGCTAAATTAATAAATGTACAAAACGAGCACGGCTTCGAAATAGTGCAACATAAGGTTAAAGCGTCAGTAAAATCTGTATACTGGGTTTTAAATAGAACAGAAAAAGATTTAAAATATTTTAATGGAAAATTCTGTTATCATTATTCTTACACGGTAACCATAATCTAACTTTGGTATTTCTAGTAAGAGCATAGTAACCACAGGCAAAAACAAGCATGGCTCTTTATTACCATGGTTACATCAACTATGGTTTCCTATATGATGGTAATAAAGGTATTCAAGTATAAAGGGAACTATCAAGAAATGTGTAGCCAAAACACATTGTGTCATTATGTACACTATGCCTTCCCTCTCCTAGATTATAGAGTATTCATGTACTATCGCTTCCAAAATACCATATTACTACATGTGCTACACAGTGTTAAAAATAGATTGTTATATTATTTTTTATTCAGGTTTGTTAAGGATTTTTATATTATTTGTTTTATATCTAAGTGTATTTTCCTATAATTGCAGATGAACCACTGATGTCACATGGATTATTTTACAGATCTCCTTGCTACGTTTCTGGACTTGGGAACATTTCAGTTGCATTGCTGTCTATGCAGGGTCAGACAGCTCTCAGATTCCATCAAAAATATCTTAATTTGTGTTCCGAAGATGAACGAAGGTCTTACGGGTTTGAAACGACATGACTCATTTTTGGGTGAACTAACCCTTTAATAAAGGCCTTCTGAAGCAAAGCGATGCGTTTGTGTAAGAAAAATATCCATATCTAAAACTTTAACGTTCACAAGAGAGTGATTAATGACAGAATTTTCATTTTTGGGTGAACTGACCCTTTAATATTTAGCTGTGTATTTAGTATGAATACTTATGCAATGTACTTATTTCAGTTTATTTTATTTTTAATTAATTTACAAAGTTGTGACAATTCTGTTTTTGCTTTGTCAATATGGTGTATGTAGTGTACATTGATGTGGGAAAAAAACTAATTTAAAGCAGCTTAACATAAGGCAGCAACATAACAAAACATGAAAAAAATGAAGGGGTATGAATATTTTCACAAGGCACTGTATGTGACCCTGGACCACAAAACCAGTCATAAGTAGCATGGATATATTTGTAGCAATAGCCAAAAATACATTGTATGGGTCAAAATTATAGATTTTTCTTTTATGCCAAAAATCATTAGGATATTAAGTAAAGATCATGTTCCATGAAGATATTTTGTAAATTTCTTACCGTAAATATATCAAAATTAAATTTTTGATTAGTAATATGCATTGCTAAGAACATTTGAACTTAATTTCACCCTCAGATTCCAGATTTTCAAATAGTTGTATCTCGGCCAAATATTGTCCAGTCCTAACAAACCATACATTAATGCAAGGCTTATTTATTCAGCTTTCAGATTTATTTCAGTTTTCATATGTATAAATCTCATCTTCAAATAATTTACCCTTGACTGGTTTTGTGTGTCCAGGGTCACATATATAAAAATATGATGAAACTGGAATTTTAATTTGGTGCACAGAATTCACAAATAATAAATAAAATACGTTTATTTCTTTATACCAAATGCATAAAAATGAGAAAATGTGGTTGGTTTACCTGAGACGCCAACAATAAAGCTGCTAGTTTAAGTGAAATTCAGTCAATATAGACAAAAACATGAGACAAATGTCGATATTTGTCTGCACTAATGGCTTATTGTAAAAATATACTGACTTACTGTAGCATTTAATTGGTTTGAACTAAAACCCAGATACTTACACATCAAAAAATTGCTTGCAATTAATAATAAACTAGAACCAAAGTCCTGGAACTGAGTGTCCTGTGCTAACTTCCGGCCGGACAGCGTTCTGTGCGCGCGCAAGCTGAGTCGAGTGAAGTGAAGCCCATCTGAAGACTTATCAAGACCGTTTAATAGTTCACATATCTTCGACTGAACCGATGGCAACCGACTCGTGGGCTCTAGCTGTGGACGAACAAGAGTCTACAACCAAGACTGTGAGTGCAGAAATGCGGTTTAATTGTGTTGTAATGGATTAACGCACTAGCTGCGGTGAGTCAGGCGCTGGCTGCGTCTCAAATCCTAGTGAGCTGCCTACCTAGACAGCATTTCTGCATGTCACAGGCGTGTTTGAAACGTCCAAACAAGGTTTTGGCCATCAAAATTTTTTTTATTTAAGTTTTGAGACACGGTCTGTATGAGATTTTAAATCTAGCGGCCACAGTTGAACTTTGAACATGTAATGTTAACTAAGTTAGTCTATATAAACTCTTAACGTGCGTAATTTTTGTTTGAAAGCTAGTGAGTGTGTGTATAATTTGCATTAAGTGACTTGTATGACTACGTTAGCAGCAAACATATCTGCTTCATTTAAATCATCGACTTATGTTTAATCAGTTTAAGACGTTATTGACTCATACGCTTAATTTGTGAATGTTCATTATATCATATTGACTCTATGCAGTGCATTTAAATGTATTTAAACTGTAAATTCTGTTGTTTGAAAACAGATTGGGAACTTGCGGATTATGGAAGCGGGAGATGCAAATTTACGTCAGACTGATGGTAGTCATGGTTTGCATTATTATATTGCATTAAAGCAATAGTTCACTCAGAAGTTAGTGTTTATGTTGTTCCAAACTTGTATGACTTCTGTGGAACACAAAAGGAGAAACTTTGAAAATTTTAGATTACTTTTTTTGTCCATACAGTTACAGTAAATGGGAACTGGAGCTTTCAATCTTCAAAAATAATGCAAAAGTACTATAAAGTTTCATTATATTCATTATAAGTGTGCACTATGTTCCGAGTCCTTTCAAGTCATGCAATATTTTTGTGAGGAACAGACCAAAATCATGTCATAATAATAACCTTGCCATTATCTGGTTCTTGATGGAAGAAACAACCAGTCCTTTTCTCAAAATCTCCCTTTTTTGTTCATCTAATGAACAAAGTCGTACACGTTTGAAATGACATGAGAGTGAATAAATGACAGTTTTTGTGTGTGTGCTTTTATTTTAACTACTATTTGTTTTTACAAAACATAACTGTTAACAATAATTGCATGAAAATATGATGTCCTCTATTTTTTCTCTCCTGTACCGTAGATGATGTCGACAAATCCGACGAAGAGGAAAAAGGTTCATTTTTAAATTGCAGTCTGGATTTACAGTCAACATAGAACCAAAACATAGAGTCAATTTATTTGCTTAATGCAATTTTTTTTAGAGTTTAGTGTAACAGATTTTTGTGAGTGATTCTGATTCTAAAGCTGCTGTAAGTACTTAAGTAATTTAAAAAGTGTGTGGTTGCATCTTAAGTTACTTATTCAAATGACACCTAAGCTTTATGTGCAAAAGTACTATAAAGTTTCATTATATTCATTATAAGTGTGCACTATGTTCCGAGTCCTTTCAAGTCATGCAATATTTTTGTGAGGAACAGACCAAAATCATGTCATAATAATAACCTTGCCATTATCTGGTTCTTGATGGAAGAAACAACCAGTCCTTTTCTCAAAATCTCCCTTTTTTGTTCATCTAATGAACAAAGTCGTACACGTTTGAAATGACATGAGAGTGAATAAATGACAGTTTTTGTGTGTGTGCTTTTATTTTAACTACTATTTGTTTTTACAAAACATAACTGTTAACAATAATTGCATGAAAATATGATGTCATCTATTTTTTCTCTCCTGTACCGTAGATGATGGCGACAAATCCGACGAAGAGGAAAAAGGTTTCTTTTTTTAATTGCAGTCTGGATTTACAGTCAACATAGAGCCAAAACATAGTCAATTTATTTGCTTAATGCAATTTTTTTTAGAGTTTAGTGTAACAGATTCTTGTGAGTGATTCTGATTCTAAAGCTGCTGTAAGTACTTAAGTCATTTAAAAAGTGTGTGGTTGCATCTTAAGTTACTTATTCAAATGACACCTAAGCTTTATGGATTAACTGTAAAAGACCATCATAGTAGCCTGTTTCTTTCCTAATCTACTATTTAGAGGACAGAGCCACACAGTCTCTCCTAAACAAGCTGATCAGAAGCAATGTGGTCAACAACACAAACCAAGTGGAGGTTCTTCAGAGGGACCCAAACTCACCACTTTATTCAGTCAAGACCTTCGAAGAGCTGAGACTGAGTGCTTTAAAACAGTGATATCTGAGGAAAAGAATCTGTGAATTTACACAACCATTCAGAGGTTTGAGTGCAATTTTTCACAAAAATATTAAGCAGCACATCTATTTTCAACATTGATAATAATATTAATGTTTGTTGATTAACAAATTATTAGATTGCAGCAAAATATTAGAATGATTTCTGAAGCATCATGTGACACTGATGACTGGAATAATGATGCTGAAAATTCAGCTTTGCACCACAGGAATTGACACCTCTCAGACAGCTTGCATATGTCAATTTTATTCGTTTTAATTTGTGTAACTCAGGAAACCACAGTTGCTCAAAGGCGTCTATGAAATGGGCTTCAACAGGCCTTCTAAAATCCAAGAGAATGCCCTTCCCATGATGCTCGCCGAACCGTAAGTCCACATATTTTGTCAATTTTATTGTAATTTAATAAAGAGGTCATATTGAGGGTTAGGAGCAAAAAGTGAATTTCACTATAGCCCTATATAGGCTCAAAACCCTTGATATATGCAACTGGAATTATTATTATTGTTTTATTTATTTATTTGACTAAAAGCACACAGATTGAATATTTGATGAACAAAATTGGACTATCAAAAAGTTTATGTGAAATATCTGGGTATATGTGTGAATTGAGTTTTAATGCACTCATAAGTTTCCCTGACTCTGTGTTTCCTTCACTCCCAGACCTCAGAATCTGATCGCTCAGTCTCAGTCTGGCACTGGTAAAACAGCTGCCTTCGTGCTGGCCATGCTCAGTCATGTGGACCCAAGCTTAAAATGGCCTCAGGTGAGTTTGAAAACTGAGCAGGGGCGGACTTACCCATTAGGCAAAGGTAGGCGACCGCCTTGGGCCCCCAAAAGCCAAGGGCCCCCTAAAATGCTTTTCATATAGGAGATGCGCATTAAGCGCTGACACGCGAACGGTTGCTGTTTACGGTATTACCACGACAACCGTCCGAATTGAACGTGGTTTTTGTGTGTCCTGCTTGAAGGAGATGAAAATATTATGCATCTGAAGCTGTAATTAAATATTGAGAAACAGTGTGTATTATATGTTTATAATTGTTTTAAATGCCGCTTACTCATTTATGAGAAGGAACCAAGTAAAGGACACATACGCAGTTACTTTTTTTGATTGATATAATCTTTAGGTGTGCAAATGTATTATTGCCTTTTCATTATTTTTTCCGTTTTATTTACATTTGTAGTTAAAATAACTAAAAATAAATGTATTTTAAAGTTTAGAATTAGACAGCCTTTGCACACAGGCTTACACTGGTAACTCATCAGTGGATTTTCCTCTTCAATATAGGCATTATTTTTTTACACTTTTCTCATTCTATATTTCTGACATTCCAAAAGCGCCCCCAATTCACTAAATCCGCCCCTGAAACTGAGATTCACTCTAATGTTCCCTTTCATTCTGGCTTAAGGCAAGACGCTGCAGGTAAAACCTTTGATTTTTTTCAGACACTGGTCAATTTTGAGATTTTAGGTTAATTACATTATGAAACATTTGCATATTTAAACAGAACATTTCAGAATTGAAGCAGTAAAGAACTGCCTTAATGTATTGTGATTAATCAACTGGGGAACGTATAGCCATATCTGTTAGTTTAATATCTATTAGTTCACAATTCTGACTTTTTTTCTCAGAATAGAGTTCATATCTCAGAATCTTTATTTCTCCGAATTGTGAGGAAAAAAGTTCAAATTATAAGATAAAGAGTCACAGTTACCTTTGTTATTCCATGGCAGAATTACGAGATGTAAACTCAGAATTTATAGGAAAAAAATGGAATTGTGAGGAAAAAAAGTCAGAATTCTGAGTTTATATATCACAATTCTGAACTGCAAAAAAGGCTGAATTAGTAATAATTTTTGTTAAAAAAACAAAACATTTTTCTGCCATTTACTCAGCCTCATGTCTTTCTAAATTTAATCATTAAAGTCACAAGGGTGAGTTTTCATTTCAGTGTGAACTATAATGTAAATGTTGTTAATACTTTGGTGTCCAATCTGTGTCTGTCCTGAAAGCATAATAGGACCCCTTTAAGAAATAATTGTTTAAAAAATAATTAGTTTTTCACTTTTATTATTAAGTAAAAAAAATAAGTAGTGTGGCAGTATTCTTTAATAAAAACTTTTGGCCATTTTGTTGCGAGATCAGAGGGGAAAATACTCTTAACTGAGATATAAAGTCAGAATTGCAAGAAAAAAGATAGAATTCTAAGTTTATGTCTTGCAATTATTTTTCAGAATTGCAAGTTTATACAGTATCTTCTAAGTTTGTATCTCACATGAATTATGAGAAGAAAAAGTCTAAATTGTGAGAGAAAAAGTGGCAATTGCTTGAAAGAAAATTACTCCTTGGCAGAAATGTACAGTGACATGAAAACTGATGAACGTGTATGATTTTCAGATTTAAATTAATTTTTTGTTGTTCTAATACTAACATTCTTGAAAAATACGAAAGTTTTTTTCAAGAAAAGTCATGATTAAAAGATTTTATATATATA